AGGGGTCGGTGTCGTTGCCCCCCCCCCCATTTTATTCATGGAGAAACTGAGGCACGAGGCAGAGACATAAGTTGCCAAAAGACCTCACACATGCCAGGCGCAGAGCTGGGCTCAGTCCCCCAACTCACCTGAATCCCAGAGCAGGGGGCTATCCACTAGGCAACACTGCCTTCGGACATGTCACTAGCCATGTAGACACCCATTGCGGTGCTCTCACACGGCCTCCCAAATGCTGACTAACCAGCTCACGCAGCCTCGCTTGAGCATAAGGACGCGCTCCGCACAGCTGCATGAAACTTCGTGGTTTGGGGCGGCCGGGAGGGACTCGAACACTTTCGTTGATTCCTGTTCACTTGGGTTCTTCTCTCTGGCTCCCCTGACGTGACACCTTGGGGCCTTGTGTTTGTTCTCCTCCATGGCTGATCCCGGTAGGGACCCGCACCCTTGGCCCTGGCAGCCCAGGTGAAAGCGGCACGCCTGGGGGTGCTATGGTCCGAGCCGGTGGCACTGAGACCACTTACAGAGACCCGTGAGGCTGCTCTATAGCCGAGGCCACTAGCCAGCTGCCAGGACATGGGTGGGCAACTCTTTTTGGGTCAAGCTTCAGCCCCGTGGGGGAAGGAGACACCAAGGTTCTGTCCCCCCCCCCATTCTGGATTAACACTTTTTGGGGACCAGGACTCGTAGATTTTGTAGGAGGCTCCCTAGGCTCTGGGATGGGGGCAAAAGTGAGGGGTTCAGTGTGTGGGGGTGGCTACTGGGGAGCAGGATGGGGATAGGAGGTAGGGTCTGGGTGGGAGAGGGTGCAGGAGAGGACGGCGGGTGCGGGGTCGAAGTGAGAGGGGATGCTGGGGTAGAGGGATCTGAGCACTACTGGGAGTGCAGAAGCAGGGTGTGGGGTCTGGGCAGGAGGAGGAGTACAGGAACTGGCTGGGGTGGGGGTCTGGGTGGGTGAGGGGGGCGGAAGTGGGCAGGCGATGGGGGGGTGGGGCTACCTGGCGCAGCTCCAGAGGCTGAGCCAGCCAGCGGCTCTATGCTGCCCCGTGTTGGCATTGAGTCTCCACATAAAATGGAGCCTGCACGCCGATGCAGGAGATAGACCTTCCCTGCGCTGCCGTTCTGGCACAGAGCCACTTCCTCCCCCGGCCAGGCAGAGCCCATGGTCCAACCCGCGGGGCTCGGGGCTTCCCTTGCAGCAGCGGGCACTTGGTGCTGACCCTCTTGGGGCCCTCCCAGCCCATGTGAACAACGGCCGTTCTCTTCGTAGGGCTTCCTGACTGGACGTCCTGCCCTGGGCTGGTTTGGGGACCCCGCGATAAAGCAAAAGAGGGTTTAAATCTTCGTTCTAGCCTCCATACCTGGAGGTAGGGGGCTACAATGAGTTGCCATGACGGTCTCCAGCAGCACAGGCAATAACGAAGAGCCACGAAGGTCCCATATGGGGAAAAAGAAGCCCAGAGGGCTGTTGGAGCCACCCTGCAGTGCAGGGGAGCTGTCTCTGGCAGGATCGAGCTGCCTTTTTAATCCTTTCTTAAGAGCCTCGCACTGCGGGGCCGGTTTTTGCGTGAGACAGAAAGGCGCTCGCTGGCTCTGGGGGTACCGAGAAGAGCCCAAACCCTGATGGAACCACGCAGGCTTGGCGCATCCTTGGGATTCAACGTTGGCTTTAGGCCTGACAGGTGGAGAGGGACGTATGCTGGAAGGAGGGGAGCCGGACTGAGACGTCAGTATAATTCTGGCCCTCTACTTCATAAGCTTCACCTATTGCTGTAACGACCTGGTCTACATTATGGCCAAAATAGGCTACATCCAACTGCTCTAGGGCTAGAAGGAAGCTTCTGAAATGGCCACTACTATGGGCGGTGGGTGAAGGTCCAATTGGCAAAGGCAAGCCCGAGCTCTACCTCTTCCAGCCGAGGCCCCGTCCCTAGAGCCAAGTCCCTATGCTCAGCCCATCCTTACTGGCCACCTGGTGGCCGGGGAAGCCGGGCTGCTGTGGTGTGGACCCAGTCTTCCCAGTAGCCAGGGCGGGTAGGCTGTGCCTTCCTTGGCCTATGTTACCGGCCACCTCATGCTCTGGTGAAATGAGGC